GGGACCATTTTTCACACTTTCAACCATCCCGATGGGTCACGCGATCAACGTTCAGATGCCCGGCAACTGACCTCTTTATGATGGTCACAGTGTTGCAGGGTCACATGATCCCCCATTTGTGACCTTCGGTTGAGCAAAGTCAGTGGGGGGAGCCAGATTCACTTAATGACCGTGTGAGTTACTGAAAAACAGCAGTGATTTGCTTAATTACCGTGGCAAGAAAGGTCATAAAAAGGGGGCAAAACTGATCTCGCAAATGTCTCACTTAGCAATGGAAATTGGGTCGTACATCGAGGACTACCTGCACAGGTGGCAGCCACGCCCTTCCCAAGGAGATGGGGAGGAGCCCAAGTGTTTACAGGAACACTTGGCTGTTTCTGAGCCGAAGGGCCCCAGGGAGGAAGGGGTTCACTCTTGAGGGGTTTGGGGGGGGGCAATCTTGCCACCGCCCAACACCCACCTTGAAGACGCTGGAGGCCCAGGTGCGAAAGGATTCCTCCTGGCCGCAGAGTTCGTCCCCTTCGCCCAGAGGCAGGATCCGCTCACCACCCAGCTCCTCCAGCCGGGTGTCCACTGCATGGGCGAAGGCACAAAAATGGGGGTATGCGCGAGATCCCAGCCCGAAGACGGAGAACCTGAGGAGACAAAGAGGGTCCTGAGCAGCTTCTCTTCTCTGGGGCTTGGCTGAAGCTGTGAGGAGGGGGAGGGCTCTTTGCCCAGGACGATTTGGGGGAGGCACATCTGTTCTCCCACCCTGCAGCTTGGACAATTTTGAACTTCCGCCCAAGGAGGAGGAGGAGGGGTCTCCTGTGCCCCCCCTGTTTCTGCCAGTCCAGCTATGTTGGGAGGGCCCTTGGAGATGGGGAACCCGAGGCAGCTCCCCTAAACTATGATGCTTGTGGAGCAGGGCAGAAACAGAGGCAGGCATCACAGAACGGCAAGTGATGCCCGGATAACCAGAGGGCAATCTCAACACCTCCTTCCTCCTTCGGAAGGGAAGTTTCTCTTCATCGGGGATCGTTACGGTTGGATAAATCAGGCGTCCACATTCCCTGGTCCACAACCTGCTACTCGGCCTTGCGCTGTTCGGAAACTTTGCCTTCCCTTGCTGGGTGTAAAAGGTATACAGGGAGTCCTCGGCTTATGACTGTTCATTTAGGACCATTCGACGCTACAATAGCACTGAAGACAAGGGAGGTAGGAGCCTTTTTTCACACGTGGGAACCGTTGTGGCATCTACTCAAAGTTCAGAGGTTTGGGAAGTGACTCATATTTAGGACAGTGGCAGCATCCCTCAGTCAGGCCATCCTCTGACTGGCCAAGCCCATAGGGAAGCCCGATTCACTTCATGACCACGCCACTCACTTAACAACTGAAAGGGATTCACTCATGACCGTGTCGCTAACTGGAGGGATTCACTTAACAATCGGGGTGCGAAAGGTCACAAAATAGGAGCAAGCTCAGCCACATGAAATGTGGGGCTCCATCGTGGTCGTAAGTCGAGGACTAGCTGCAACGATCGGGATCAAATTAATATTTTGGCTGCCACGGAGCTGTCATGTTTCAATGCTTTGGATTATCGGTGGGATTCAAAATGGCTGTGAGGAATGCCAGGGGCTCCCCCCCAAAAGAGTGGGAGGGGGCCTGTGAGACCTCCCCTGCCTGAGGGGCGGGGCATTGGGCTGTCAATCAAGAAGGAGAGAGAGAGAGACCCTTCCCCTTTTAATGCACAGAGGTGGAACCCTGGAGCAGGTGGAGAGGAGGTGCAGCCTAAAAGTCCTAGACCGGAGCAGGGATGACAAAGGGGGTCCGGTCCCCACGACCCCCCTCCCCAGTGAGTATAGGGCAACTTCCTCCCACCCCTATGGAAAGCCCTCCGAGTCCCACCCCCACCCCCAGCAAGACTTGAGTTGGGGTCCCATCTCCTGCCTGGCTGCCCGGAACCCACCTGAGGGTCCCCAGGGCCCCGGCACAGTCGGTGTTGCTGGACTCCCGGCGTTTCCTCTTCCAAAAAACCACCGAAGGATCAGACTGGGAGATGCTGTTGAATCGCATCTTGTAGCTCCTGAGGGACAGAGAGAAGGAAGGGGAGGAAGGAAGGAGGGAAGAGAGGGAAGGAGAGAGAGAGGAGGGAGGGAAGGAAGGAAGGAGGAAAGGGAGGGAGGGAGGGAAGGGAGGAAAGGAAGGGAGGAAGGAAGGAGAGAAAGATCATGGGAGGGAAGGAAAAGGAAGGAAGGATAGAAGGAGAGAGAGGAAGGAGGGAAGGAAATAAAGAGGGTGGGTGGGAGAGAGGAAATGAAGTGTGGATGGGAGAGAGGGAGGAAAGAAAGAAGAAAAGAGAGTGGGAGGGACGGAAGGAAGGATGGGAGGGAGGGAGGAAGAAAGGGAGGGAAAGAAGGGTGGGAGAGAGGAAGGAAAGAAGGTGAGAAAGAGCCAGGAAGGGAGGGTGGGTACAAGGAAGGATAGAAGCAAGGAAGGAGAGAGAGAAGGAGGGAAGAAAGGAAGAAAGGCAGGTAGGTGGGAGGGAATGAATGAAGTGTGAGTAGGTAGGAGGGAGGGACAAAGGGAAGGAAGAAGAAAAGAGAGAGAGTGGGAGGAAAGAAGGAAGTGGGTAGAGAGGAAGGAAAGAAGGGAGGAAGGAAGAGAGAAGAGGGAGGATGAGAGGGAGGAAAGAAGGGGGAAGGAGGGGAAGTTGTAAGTAATTAAGTTTAATGCCATAAATATTAGTAGATGTAAGCCATACGGATCATAACTTTTGGGGGGCTCCTTCATAATGTATTAAAAGTCGGAAAGGTCCTGAGCACAAGAAGTGGGGTCAGAGCATGGCTTCTGATGCTTGGGACCAGAGGACGCCAACATCTGGAGTAGCTTTCCAAAGACCCTTTGCACTTAAGGTAAGTGGGAAGTAGGACTCCATTTTAGGGGCTGCCCAGATGTTTGAGAAAGCAACTTATGGGAACCAAGATCTCATAACTCACCTTCCCGGTCTTGTCTCACCTGACTATGCTGGACTTCAAGTCCCATAAATGTGGTGGGGGTCCACCACCTTTGGGGAAAGGGGCTCTAATGCCACTGATCTGCTACAATGTGGGATGGATCTTCCTGTGGTTCCCATTATAATCCCATGTGGGTTGACTCACAAGGACACCCCCCCCCCACCATCCAGATGCCAGATGTTTCCTTTAGGCCTTCAAAGAACTCCAACATCATTCTTTCCAGAATGTGTCTTCATTGGGCCTTCTCATGATACACAATTGTTCAAAAAGCTAATTCTGTCCACAACCAAGCTCTGAAGACCTTTCCTGCTGAGGGTTCCTTGGCCAGGTGAGGGCCAGGCGGAGGTCCTCTGGAGGAAAAGGTCCAGGCTGAAGGACCTTCAACCAGGCTCCAGCAGCTGAACCCACAGCTGATTCAGAAAACACCTTGGAGAGAGAAGATATAGCAAGGCTTACTTCTGAAACTCCGGCTCAACAGCTCCAAGATAAGGACAAGACATCTCCATCAAGGCCTTGGAGAAACTCTGGAATGAGAAAGAACCAACCAAGGAGAGAAGCAACCTAGAACGAAGGAGAAACTTCCTAACGGTGAGAACCATTAACCAGTGGAATATCTCTAGATGTTGTGGGTGCTTCATCAATGGAGGCTTTCAAGAAGAGATTGGACAACCAGTTGTCTGAAAGGGTAGAGGGTCTTCTGCTTGAGTAGGGGGTTAGACTAGAAGACCTCCAAGCTCCCTTCCAACTCTGTGACTCTACATCCATGCATCTGAAACAGATTTGAGGTCTCCTTTGGTCCAAGGAAGAACCCAACCAGCCAGGACTTGCTGAAGGACGAGATTGGGGTGGGACTTGGTCCTACCTGAGGGAGCAAAACTCTTCTGTTGACATCCATCCATCCAACCACCATCATCCCCAGCACACTGGGGGGAGGACAGCAGAAGAAATAAGGGGCAGCCTTGTCAACAGATGGGAGCTCAACTTACCCTAGGCTGCCCTGGCTAGGAGGCCTGATGGGTTAATGTCCACCTCATCCGTGAGGAACCCCCGGAAGAAGAATTTGCAAACTCCAATGAGCCAGAAGAAGACCTCAAAAGTGCTTTCCCAAAAAGCTGCTGGATTTTCTTGGGTGTTTTTTTTCCCTTGAAAACCTTTCGCTTCTCATCCCTTCTTCTGTTCTGAAGCTTCTTCTGTTCTTCAACCTTCTTCAGAACTTTGGAAGTTCTTCAGTTGAGAAGTGAAATGTTTTCAAAGGAAGAACCCAAGAAAGTCTAGTTGCAACCATGAGGCAACCATGACCTGGAGGATTGAGAATCTCCATAGACATGGAGCCAGAAAGGACCACCGTATCTTCTGGAGAAGATAAGTCAAAGCCTCCAGATGAGCATGTCTCAGCCTTGGTGACTTGAAGATGAGTGGACTTCAACTCCCAGAATTCCCCAGCCAGACTCCAGACTCCTCCAATTCTCAGGTTGGCTGGGGAAATCTGGGAGTTGAAGTCCACACTTCTTCCATTCACCAAGATGGAGGAACACTGATCTGGAGGCCGGCTGGGGAATTCTGAGAGTTGAAGTTCACGTATCTTCCAGTCATCAAGGTTGAGAGACCCTTGTCCAGATGGTCCAACCGCTTTGTCCCACATTAAGGCCATTACCTCTCCATTTTCAGGTGGGTCCCCATTGCCAAAAGTGCTTGTGACCACCAGAACGAGGGTCTCGTGCTCCAAGGACACCACGTCGTATTCATCGAGGCACATCACCTGTAGGGCGAGACACAGAAACAGCAGGAGATGGAAACATGAACATCTTCCATCTCTACCCACCAGTGACAGAGACCCCCAATTGTTGATGGTATCTGCTGAGGATTTCTGAGATGGAGGTTGGCCATAGGGGGAAAGGAAGGGCTGTTCTCCTTTCCTATACCCTGCATGGCATCGTCAGTGAGATGTTCTCCTGGACCAGACGGAAGGTAGCGTGTAGGTCAACCATGACCCAGTCTGGAAGAGTTGGGAGCTCCACCCCAGGTCCTTCACTGAAAATGTGTCAACCAGTTGATTGGAAAGGCCTTGTTTCAACGCGACCTGGTAGTAGCTCTTGCATTCTCTGAAGGTTCTCCTTGACCAACCAACCTTCTCCCACAGCGATGGACACCAAAGTTCAGTGGGGCATAGACCATGCCTGACCCAGGTGTGGACTTCCTGAACCCAGATCACATAACTTCTCCAGCCCCAGGACCCAAGAAGGTCTTCCCCCACAGTGCTGGGAAGGTCCCGATCCATGTGCCTTCCACCTTCTTCTCCAAGAAGCATCCCGTGGAGCTTCCCTGAATGAGGAGGGGTCCCGGTGGGCTCACCTTGGGGGCGAAAGCTGACTGGAAGAGCTCCTTCAGGTTGAAGGCGTAGGCCTTGGACTTGCCCGTCTCTGAGGCATAGAGGATGGTGGCTTTGACCCGTTGGGCCATCACATGACCCATCAGCTTGGCGGAGATCTTGACGGCACTGGTGACAGAAAGGAGAGCGGGATTGTGGAGAGACAGACTTGAGGGGTCCATCCCACCTCTGACTTTGAACGGGGGGGGGGGGGTTCACAAGACCAATGGGGCAAGCCTTCTTCTCCTCTGGTGGACCTGCTAGGTTTGGAGAACTTGAGGAAGGAAGGGGACTTACTTGGCGATCTCTTTGAAGGTCTTCTTCCGGGTGATGGTGGTCCCTTTGGGGATGTAGGACTTCCAGGGGTCAGCCTGTGGGGAGAGAGGGTCTCTTCAGGGGGGAGGGCAGGGGAAGGTCTGAGACTCTCAGATGGGTGAGGAGGGAGGAGATGAAGGCCTCCTCGCTGTCCTTGAGGTCCCAGAGACTCGGGGAGGCCTCAACTTTCAACAGAACCCTTCGCTTAGGGACTGTGGGAAATTACGGCCTGGGACAAGTGAGCTACGATTGGTCAGACATGGCCAAGGATCACAATCCAGGGCCGCCTCCTCCTCCTCCTCCTCCTCCCCTCTTTCTCCTCCTTTGTCTTTTTTCTTCATTTCTGTTTCTCTTTCTCCTCCTCCTTCTTTTGTCCTTTTCCCCTCTTGTCCTCCTCGTTTCTCCTTTTCCTTCTTTCTTTTTCCTTCTCCTTTCTGTTTCCCCCTCTTCCCCTCTTGTCCTATCTGTCTCCTTTCTCCTTCCCCACCTTTTTTCTGCTTTCTCCTCCTCCTTTCTTTTTCCTCCTCCTCCTCCTCTCTTCCTATTCCTCCTCTTCTCTTGTCATCTCCACCTTTCTCTTTCTGGTTCTCTTCCCTTCTTTCTCCTCCTCCCTTCTCCTTCTGCACTCTTGTTCTCTCCTTCCCCTTCTCTTTCTTTCTTTTTCCTCCTTCTTTCTCCTTCTCCTCCCCCTCCCCTCTTGTCCTCGCCTTCTCCTTTCTCTTCCTTCTCCTTCTTTCACCTTGTGGGTCTCCTTCTTCCGTGGGGGTGCAATGGTTAGAGTGCAGTAGATTCAGATTCAGATTCAGATTTAATTTATTTGTATGCCGCCCTTCTCCGGGAGGGACTCAGGGCGGCG